GATCTGAAACAGATACGGTGGCAAACAGATCAATAAAGAGCAATTAAAATTAATTATATCAAGTATCCTCACCTTAATTAATTATAGAACGTAACACTCCAAAGTTTACAGGTGTGAAAAGTAAACCAACTCAAGGAGGAATACTGTAGCAGAGAATTTCTTATTTCAGTGGAATTCAAATAAATATCCTGTTGCACTCGCTCATGGGTCGAAAATTAACTGCATGATGTTACAAGTCGAAGACGAAACAGCAAATCAAGAATATAATCCAGGAAAGACCACACCCATGTAGACATGGGCTGTTTCAGTATAACCAAACTGAACATTAATTCTCCCTCATTTATTGTATAACCTGCAGAAATGGACAAAAAACATATTAATGACACTTATAATTAAGAAACAAATAAAAACGCACCAAAAAGCAAGTAAAATAGCTGAATTATAAAATAAATAAACAACAATTTTACGCCATTTTACATCAAAACCATAGATCACAACATAGATTAACGTCAAATAACACGACATAAACAGGAAAAGGTTAAAAAGAAAATTCATAGATACATAAACTCCATAGATAAATATCAATTTATTCTGTGGAAAATAAAAACTGTCAAGTGATACTGATACACAATAACCTCAATGTATACTGTTGACAATAGGTAATTGTTTACAGAAATTTCATAACATATTAATAAAGAGTAATTAACATTGACAAGTCATGTAATCTCACCTTAATTAATTGTAGAAAGTGGCGTTCTAAAGTCTATCTGTGTGATGAGCAAACCAACCAAATCTAGGAGGGATACCACTGCAGATAATTTGTTGTTCAGGTTGCATCCAAATTAATTTCCAATTGTCTCCCATTGTTAGTGCAAAAATTAACTGCATAATGTTGCAAGGTGAAGACGTCAAAAGTATCGGTTGTTCTAGTAGCACCAAAATTAACTGCAATTCTTTCTTATTTATGGGACAACAATCTATATAAAAACAGGCAAGAAAAAGTGATTATCATTTTTAAATCGAATAAATCAGTAACATGCACACTAATGGAAAGATCTGTTCCACATTAAAAAGCAAGTAAAATTAGTTGAATTATAAAATAACAAGCGTTATTTCAATGACATTTTACATCACAGCCATAGATCACGACATAGATAAATGTCAAATAACACGTCAATTTACGATGCAGACAATAGAAAAAGGTTAATTAGAAAATCCATAGATAGTTAAACTTCATAGATAGATAAACTCCACAGATAGATCAATGATAAATGTCAATTTATTCTGTGGGAAATAAAAACTGTTAACGAGATATAGATGCACACAATAACCTCAATTTAAACTGTTTACAATAGATACTTGTTAACAGAAATTTCATAACAGATTAATAAAGAGCAATTAATATTAATGAAGTTATGTATTCTCACCTTAACTGTAGAAAGTGGCGTTCTAGTCTACCAGTATGATGAGCAAACCAAATCTAGGAGGAATCACTGCAAACAATCTGTTGTTCCAGTCTCTTCCAAATTAATTTCCAACTGCCTCCTGTTGTTACAGCAAAAGTTAACTGCATAATGTTGCAAAGTGAAGACATCAAAAGCATCGGTTGCTTCAGTAGCATCAAAATTAACTGCAATCCCTCATCATTTGTGGGACAATCTATATAGAAATAAGCAAGAAAAGGTAATTAGTTATCACTTTTAAAGAAAGTAAATCAGTAATATTTTCATGTGGCGATATAGTGGTAAAGTTAGAAATTAACTTTCACGTTGATGGAAAGGTCCGTTCCACAATAATTCTGCTTTTTCCATTTTTGAAAAGTTGTCTATTAAAGAAGTTACAAATGTCTAAGAAATCAAGTTCCTGGGACCCTTATTTACTAATTTTAATTGATACTGTTACATACCATTTTGGTACCATACCGATTTGCCCATCAAATCCAAGGATGTCATCTCAAAGCAGGTCTGAACTGTAGAAAAACAAAACAAGTCTATAGAATAATAACACAAAATTAATATTTTTTATCAGAAATTTAGAACTTTAAAGGCAGAATAATATTTTTGAGAAATATTTTACGTATTTTGCCTATAAAACGAAAGAAATTTTTTGAGGCGTGGTCAAATTAGTATGAAAAATCTACAATCATCGCCGAAACCTGTTTCGAAAATTCAAAAAATTTTAACAAAATCGTAATTATTCAACCTCAAATAAACCATGAATCTATAAAAATTCGCAGATGAGAGGATTGCAAGATACCAAGATAGAACCTCACGTTGAAGCACAAAACCAAATCGCCACGGAAGACATTCACGCCAAAAACATCTAAGCAATAGTAACCGAAACCGATCAATCACTAAATAGAAAACTATTCCACACAATCAAATGAAAATCAAATACCTTATGGTGTCGTCGCCGTTTATGGACAGCAAAAATGGTGACATACCGCCTTCTTGACAACCGAAGGCACGATTGATTGATTGAACGTTGATTGAACATGATGCATATAAGGATACAAGATGAATCATGGGCGGGACGATCATAGATAAAAATTCCTTCTATACCCATGATACATAAATAACAAGTTTTATAAGTGCGTTCAATTATACCAACTTAGTTTAATTCGTAAATAGAAACTGATCCGCCTTTAAAAAATAATCATTCCAATAAAACTACAACACTAACAGTACATTTTAACTACTTAAAGAACTTCTAAGAATTATTGCAATGTTTTTAAGTAAATTAATTAAAAATAAAATTTATGTGGTTCTTTGGTTAAAACGCATACGAATGGTGTATTTGTGAATGTATTTAAATCAAGCTTTAAAAACATAATCATAATAATAATAAAAATCAATACTCCTTAATACATGCGGAATAGTAATGAAAACTGAGAATATCGAAAAATAACACAATAATACATTAATGTTGCCTTTGATTTGCTATATTTAACTTATTGTGACTGATCTACTTAATTTAATCACCATACCAAACAAAAAAATATTATGGAAAAACAGAAAATTATAATATGTTCATCATTATTAAACAAACACGTTCATCGAGAAAAAATTGCAAAAACTCGATTTGGACAAAGTAACAAATATTTTTGCGACATTAAATAAAAACGCCGTGTAGTTTTACATTAAGCAAAACGTCTTGGGTTACCTTTACCTATGTGAGGTTGAATGCTTACGATTTTAAATTTTACATTATAAACATCGGGCAAACGTATAAGGTATTTGAGTAAAAGTATTTAAAATACATTTTTAATATTCTTTTTTATTTGTAATTCAACT